TGGGATATTTCGGAACCCATGTCAAGGGATTGTGTATTTCTCCGTGGAAATAGTCCGGCTCTGGAACTGGCTAACCCGAATGCGAAAACGAAGGACGAAAGGCTATTCGGATCGAGATGTCACCGTGCTTGTTGGCAGTCTCATTTAGCTTTCCTATAGTCAGTGCTGTTAAAGCTCTCATCACTATAGCTCAAACCCTTCTATACCCGCGCTGAATACTGTCTTTTCGCCCCTTTCTTGCCGTATCACCTTACCGTCAGGTCATTCTTCCATCTCCCCAGAGCATTTACCGAGTCTCACCATTCTAGCCTACAACTTTTCGGATCAGATAAGTGAATCGACTAGGGTCCATGACAAGTGCACAGCAAGGTCTATGACAGGGACTATTTCCCCTGTCTGGATATCCTAACTTCGAATGGCAAGTAGATTATACGAAAAATGGGTATTCTCTTATCCTGGCCGTTCCTAAAGCGATTCGTCCCTGACTTCAATTGAGTTTGAAAAGGACCCGAATCATGGATTCTATCTAGTAAAAAGAGAGTCGATCTTTACGATGTTTGTCGGAATTGAATAACGGTTATGTCGATAGGCAAGGTACGTACCTCGTACCAGCTGAGAGATGATTTTTCTTCTTCCTCTCTGAATGATAGATTGGTGATGTTAGGCTTGTCGTGATGCTAAAGTGAGTGAGTATCGTTGTGAAGGGAGACACCTACTGAGTAGTATATCTGATGCAAGCACCTACCAATGTAGGTATTGATACGAAGAGTGGTGGTAGCAGTGGATTATGGAGATATGGACTATATATGGATACAGATGGAACCAGGGAATGGATGATATACAACATTTGGCAAATTGAGACGGAAATCTTCGATGAGCTCAATGTTTGATCATCCTCAGGCCATTGATTGTGAGTTTTCTTGGTGAGACAGACATATTCAATGAAGTACACAATAGAAGCGATAAAAAGGAGAATCCAAGCATATTGAGCCATACCTAGTAATGTACTTATTACTGTTTTGACGCTGGATTATAATCTTACTTACTGTAGTAATCATTTGATATCAGATCCGTCATCACGACGGATCTTACACAACCAAATTCCTTTTGCGTGTCTGCTAATCAATCAATATTGTTCCTCCACATTTTTATATAGTTACAACTTACAAGTTACATGAAAAGCTTGATCTGAATACTCCGTATTTTATATTACGCTTGTTACGGTTCATCAATCTCAATCCCGGTGTCGGCCGAGGCTTCAAAACTACAAAATAAAGTTCCAAGTGATTCCGCCACCAAGATCCATCCCATTTGTCTTTTCGGAAAAAAACTTTATTACAAGGGAATTCAATCCAACATCAACCAAGATTCACCATAATTCTTTCAATTGATACATTCACAATAATATATGATCAAGTCGAATACCTAGGGAATCTACTACAGCAACAATCACTTCTAAGTAAATAAGTATTACGCCAATACTTATTTATACCCCAAAAACAGTCTATCAGATCGCTTCTTACATCATACCATTCCATTGTGTGGAATCAGTTATCAAACTCAAAGTTGGATTGACACACAATCAACAAGTTTGGCATTGCCTTCCCCCTCCTGATTTTCACCCATTTCTCGGCACTCATACTCGTACATTTATTAGTAGTATATGATCCGTCGTTCATCAATTCTATTCCGAATAATGTCGCGTCCTCAAGTTGTCAGAATGGCTACTACATCTCATTGTATACCACAAGAGCCACAGCCTGAATCGCCCCGCTCCCAGGTATCCCAGGTTCCGGCTCTCACCTACTCATCATCGTCCTCTTCCGACCTCGAACCCGAAGAAATTGAACCACGCCGTCGTCGGGCTTCGACTGTACTCATCTCACAAAATTCTACCGACATGCAAAGGATTATCGGAAATGCGGGCACAAAGTTGGTGGAGAAATGCTGTGGTGGAGGTTGCTGTATGGCCATCACCAAAACTGATGGACTCACATACGAAAAACCAAGATTGCCAGACAACGATGCTTACAGGAGTTTGGCATTGAAGATTGAAACCATCCCTACACGATTGACAAGTGTGCCAGATCTGCCAAAGAAAAACATGGACATTCTCCCTTTGCAGAAAGAGAAGGCCCTGGATATTGTCAAGGGTATAGAATCTTTACATGTCAATGAGAACAGAGGAGCAATCACTGTCGAACCTTCCATGGACGTCGCAGATGCGGCAGACAATCAAAAGGCTCTCTCCCATAAGGATTCTGGAATTCGTATGGAAAATGATTCAATTGACTTCACACCACATCATGCCAAGTTAGATGTCGACACCAAAGTCCAACCACCTTCATTTGTTCAGCCACATCCACCTTACGAAGTCTATTCCGCGAGAATTTTCAATGCCAGAGAATTGACCAAGCCTGGTGCTGAAAAGAGAACATATCACTTCGACTTGGATGTTACCGATTATCCCGAGGAAGGTGGCGTTGATTTCAAGGTTGGTGGTGCAATTGGTGTCATGGCACCTAATGAAGAATCAATGGTGGAAGAAATGATGGATTTGTTATCTATTCCAAGACATCTTCGCGACCGAAAGATTTTGTTGAAGACACATTCTGGAAGATGGCCTACAATATGGGGGGATGACAAGCCAAGAGAATTAATTACAACCAGACGCGATTTATTGACTTGGTGTTCTGATATTCAATCATATCCTCCAAACAAAAAGATCTTACGAATCCTTGCCGAATATGCTACCGATCCAGAAGAAAAGAAGATTTTGTTATATTTGTGTTCTGGAGAAGGCCAAGGTACATTCTGCGATTTCCGAACCGGTCCACATATCACCATTCCTCAGCTTCTTCACGCATTCCCTTCTAGTAAGCCACCTCTCGATCATCTTCTCTCGGAACTCGAAACTTTAAGACCTCGATTCTATTCAATGTCCAACGATCCTCAGGAGAACTGTGTACCAGTTGAGGGATGCAGCCGACTTATCGAAATCGCAGTCACTGTCCACGAAACCAATCATTGGAAGGGTGGAAATCGAATTGGTCTAGGGTCAGGATTCTTTGAGCGACAAGCAAGAAAATTTATCGAGGCTGAAAAGAGAGGAGAAAAGGTCAACGTCCGAATCCCCATGTTCAAGGGATTAATGGCAAATCCCTTGGCTAGAGAATTTGTTTCCGATGGACCTATGCTTTTGATTGGTGCGGGTGTAGGAGTTGCACCCTTCCGAGGATTTGTTCAACGTCGTCTCAAGAATGCCAATTGCGCCAACAAGGTTTGGGTTCTTCAAGGAGTCAGAGATTCTCTTCTTGATGAATTGTATTCTGGTGAATGGGGTGTTCATGAATCGGAAGTCAAGAAAGTTGTTCAGAGTCGCAGACCTGGCAGTAAGCAAAAGGGAAAATACGTTCAAGATGAGGTTAGACATCAAGCAGATTTGGTCTGGTTCATCATCAATGCTTTGGACGGCCGAGTTTTTGTTTGTGGTAGTAGTAAAGGAATGGGTGAAGGTGTTGAGGAAGCTCTTGTAGACGTTGCCATGGAGAAGGGCAATTTGGATAGGGAAGAAGCAAAGAACTTCTGGAAGTTGAAGAATGAAGCTGGGCAATATATTGCCGAGACTTGGTGATTGATTTCACGTTATCATTCTTTCCTTTCTTTCTTGAATCCGAGGTTTCCAAATACCAAAGATGGGATTATGATGCGAATGAAACAAGGACTGTAAATACGCTGTGGATTTTCGATATCGTTCGCCATATTTGGATTGTAATATACGCATGTTCCACGGGTGGAAAGCTGTCTTGCTTTTATGCAACGAATGGGGGGATTTTTTAGCTACATATTTTGCATATGGGATTTTGACTAGGTAAATTTTGGTTGTCCATAGGGCGTTGAGCGGTGTTTAGACTGGCGAAATGGGATATGAGGACCACAGCAGAAGAACAACGCAAGCAATTGGGATTACATTGACGGGAGCTACATGATGGACCAGTGAATGCAAGACAGCGAGTAGATACTGCTGTGAAACTGAGTGTGTAAGGATATCATGCCAAACAGATAGCTTATAAATGAAAATAATCAAAAATCATAATCATATTTTTTGAGTTTGATCAATCATGGTTCGTGAACGTTGCATTGTACATCCGTGTTACGCATCGAATACATCGTACATGCGTCCACCCATGTCCGCAACGGCACCCCGCTTATCCGCCGCACTTCCACCAATCACAAAAAGAAGCGCGCCGCACTCAGATCCGCCCCACTACGAGTGGAAGCTTTATAATGAATATGTCAGCGGTTCATCAATTATGGAATCCTCAGAAATCTTGATGTTTCTGTGGAGCCGGGAGGGTTGCAGCTTAGTGGGAGCTTGGATGTCATGATTTTGTGATGGGGAGGGAAGCCGATGGGAAGGGGGAAGTATCTAGGTAGATTGGGGTTGGTTGGTTTAGCTGGATGTAGTAGGTGGGTAGTAGGTAGTAGGTTGGTAGGTAGTAGGTAGGTAGGTATGTAGGTAGGTAGTAGGTAGGTATGTAGGTAGGTACGTGGTTATTGTGTCAGTCAGTGGAAGAAGCAAAAAGTACAAAGTAGGTGAATCATTTACTGGATGGATAGATGGATGGATACTGGACTGGGTTGATAATGGTAAGCATTGGAACGTCAAACATGGTGATTAATATTTGGAATCTGGGGGGTTTGATTGGGGGGATTTTGATAGGATGTTGGATTTGCAATGGCGACATATGTGATGTATGTGATGTTGAATTGGGAATTCACGATTCTAGATGAGGTGAGATGGGATGGGATGGATGGGATGGGAAAGAGTGGAGCGGGGGTGAATATCTAGTGCTCTGTCCTGTCCTGTTATTTAGTGTGTCTCTCTTAACCGAGCGGGGCAAAGAGCGGGTCGGGTTTTAGCTTTTGCTACCAACGTCGGTTTGGGTCAATTGTTGTCAGGTATAAGAGGGGGGGATTTCTCTGTTCTGGAGTTTGGGGTTTTTATCTTCTCATTCTCAATTCACTTTAATTACAACTTGACTTGTATCTCGTGACGAATTCTCGATTTTCATACACATACACATACACATACACAAACTCAATCTAAATCTTCATACCACACCACGCTAACTACCAACCATGTCTCCCTCAACCCAATTCATCGATCTCCTCAAGGCTCGTCGTACCATCTACGCTCTCAGCAACACATCCACCATCCCCGATAGCAAGATTCAAGAGATTGTCGAGCAAGCCGTTTTACACGTTCCTTCCTCGTTCAACTCGCAAAGTACTCGGGTGGTTTTGTTGCTCAAGGGTGAGCATGAGAAGCTTTGGGACATTACCAAGGAGGTTTTGAAGGGTGTTGTGCCCGCGGAACAGTTTGAGGGAACGGCGAAGAAAATTGATGGATTCAGAGCGGGTTACGGAACTGTATGTTTTTTTTCTGGTTGTTCTATTATTGAATGGTTGATGGTTGATGCTCGATCTATGGATCTGCGTTGTTGCTGTGGGAAAAGTAAACTAATGGAAAATTTATAGGTCCTCTTCTTTGAGGATAGAAAGGTCGTCTCTGGAATGCAATCCGCATACACTTCGTACGCAGATAAATTCCCCATGTGGGCTAGTCAAAGTGATGCCATGACTCAGTATGCCATCTGGGTTGCTTTGGAAGCTGAGGGATTGGGCGCAAACTTGCAACATTATTCCCCTTTGATTGATGCTAAGGTTGCTTCTGAGTAAGTTTTCTTTTTCTTTCTTATTTCTCTCTGGGGTTATTGAATTTGGGGCGGGGGGGGGGGGGGCAGAGATATGGAGATGAAGATGGTATAAAGAGGATTGAATTGAATAAATAACTAATATCAAATCTTCTAGATGGAACATCCCAGCTGATTGGGAACTCAACGCTCAACTTGTTTTCGGTACTCCTGTTGCCGGAGCTGGAGAGAAGACCTTCCAGCCTCTTGAGGAGAGATTCAAGGTTTATGGTGCTTAGATGTGATTTGCGGATATAGTAATGATGGTGGGGAAAAAGAGTTCAGGAGCAGTGCATTTACGATAGAGAGAAGCGCTATGATTTTGCAAGTTGCGAAGGAAGAACGGCGGATAAGGGAGATACAGATAAACTGATTATACCATTACTGATACGAAAATAGAATGGTTTAGGGAGATAGATTAGATGAATGATACCATATGATATGAAAATCAATCTTTTCAATGTGTTGAGCAATGAGGGATGTGAAAGAAAGAATAGTATGATGAATGCAAGTGCGTTGTACAGAAGTTAAGTTAAGGTATATGTCGAGATTAATATTTGCATCATCTTTCAAATGTTCATACCTACTATATTACTCGAATGAATGAGAGGATAGAAGAGGGAAATATAATCGAATGATTCAATGTGAATTAGCATCTCTGAGATAGATGAATCGCATAGCATAGCATAGCTAGAAAACTAAACCAAACTCACTGTTTTTCCTCAACCTGCTCAAGATACTTATTAATGCTCAAGGTGAGTAGGGCAGTGCTGCAAATAAGCATCAGTACCTAATACCTAGCTACTTGTAGGTCAGTGGGGAATGGGATTGGGGGTATCGGAGATGGGTTATTTTTGATGGTGTTTGGGAGTGCTTGTTTGTGGTTTTGGGGTTTTGGGGTTTTGGGGTTTTGAGAGTTTATTTGGGGGTTGATTGTTAGGTAGGTATTGAAAGATATTGTTGGAGTGGGATATAGAGGAAAGTTTGACATTGTAATATGGTTCTTAGTTTCTAATATGTTTTTATATCACTTGCGCGAATATGAGAGTTCTGGAACCTCTTTACCACACTCTATATAGTTTTGTAACAAAATCCTTACGAAAATGACGTTTTCCTACACAAATGAAAAAAGTTGATAACTTTTTCAATTTAAGAAATTTTGTTTTCAAAATTTAAAGATAAATAATTAATATTACTTTTTTATTCAAAAAATTATATAATTTTTTTTTATAACGTAACTTAGAGTGAACCAGGTCATATAGAGAACCGGGTCACATTTAGCCCATCATTGACTTCAAACCCTAACAAATTTTACTATACATACCGAATCACCTCTTATATTTTTTCAAATTGAAGAGAAGATATAGAATACTATTATTACATTTCAATTGAAGGAATTTATGTCAATTAGAAAGGCTACAAAGTATTTTAAAGTTTCTAAGTCAACTCTCATAGTTAGGATTGCTGAAAGGAAATTATATACTCAATCTCACAAAATAGTTTAAATTCTTTCAAATGTAAAAGAAAATACTCTTGTATGATGGATTTCACAACTTATCATTACTGGATTTCCTGCTACACCTATATTGGTGAAGGAAATGGCCAACGAAATTCGTCTTCGACGTATTCAGGTCGTATGATTTCGAATTTCTATCTCAACAGAAATTCCACTTATAAGCTACAAATAGATTTATAGATTCCAAAAATGATATTCAAAACTTAAAATATATTACTTATATTAATTAAAGTTTAATCAAATTAAAGAAATAATATTAAAGAATATTCAGGTTTAATTTAATATGTTTTATATGTATCTTATTAAATGAAAGTATAAATTAGATGATATATATAATATAAATGAAACCGGATTTGAAATTGGAAGTATTCAAAATATGTATATTATAATCAATTCTACTTAAAAATCGAATTGGAAAGTTATAGTTAACAAGTAAGAATAGATGATTATATTTGAATATGTTAATGTAGTTAGAAAAACTTTATCATCTATAATCATTTTTAAGGTTTAGAATACAAATTCTGTATAAATTCTAAAGGATATATCTTAAAGTTGATAGTTCTTTATTAATATAAATAAATAGATTTCAAATAATTATAAATTAGAATGATTAAAAAGGGTTTTCAAATTAAAATCTAAGAAAGTACTAGGTAATCGATCTTGACTTTTAATCATAAATGGTTATTCAAGTTATATTACAGACAGCTTTATTGCTTTCTATATAAAGAAAGATATTGATTTATTTATATTATCTTTTCATTATTTCTATTTGCTTCAATTATTTGATATTGTAATGTATAGGCCAATAAAATGATATCATGCTTTAAAGATCGATTGATATTCTTGAGCTAATATAAAGCAAATCTAAAAAACTGAATAAATAGAATTCTTTCAAAATATTAAAAAAAAAGTACTGAATTCTTTTAATATTAAAGTTGACTGAAAAGAAGCTAATTTAATATCTTTTGTTTTACAAAAAGTATTCGATTCATTACCATTTAACTTCTTTTAATAACCTTTTATTCCATAAATAAGAACTTTTAATTAAGATTTAAATTTATTTATACTTAGAAGCTTTTCTCCAGATGGGATAGAATTAAGACAAGTAAATCAAATCTTTAATAAAGTTCTAATAAATAATAATTCTTTTGTATCATTAATTTGTCAATATGTCAAAAGAATGACTAAACTTGTAGAATTTCAAAATACTGAGATAGTCTTATTTCGAAAACAGCTTGCTAATATTCAGAAGATAATTGAAACTTGAAAGAAAAGAATTAAAGGTAAAAGAATCAAATTATAAGATTAATTTGTCTTTAATAATAAGAAAGTATTAAAAATGGTACATAAAATGAAAGAAAAATCTAAGAAGAAAAAGCTACGAGAACAATCATATAAATATTCAATTAAAAAATTAAAAAAGAAAATTAAAAAAGAAGAGTTAGAGAGTAGTTTAAATAATTTAGAGTTGGAATTGAATGAATATATAGCTTGTAGAATAAGATTATATAAAGAGAATTGAATTTTATGACCCGGTTTTTCATATAACCCGGTTCACTATAAGTTACGTTATATTATATAAATTTGAAATTGAATAAATTAAAAGTTTCTAATTTATGATACATTTTTTATATTATTTTCACCGATTTTTTTTAGGAAATTCTTTTTAGGAAATTTTTTATTTTTATTTTTAATAATTTATAATTTTATAAATAAAATATTTAAAAATAAACTGGCTTTTTTTTATATAATTAAAACAATTCTAAATCGATCTTGAACTCTTTTTATTATTTGATATAAAGATTCAATAAAGGTATAGAGAACTTAAAAGCTGAAAGATTAATGATTTTCATAGGGAAATCGAAATCCGTGCGGTGAGGAGGTTCTAGAACTCTTACATTGTAGTATTTGTCCGGCTCACAAGCTGCTCAGGGCAGAGAAGCTGTTGCTTTAGATGTCAACAAATGCGTCAAGGTGTTTGCGGAGAGTTTGGGGTTGTGTCTGGAAAGGGATCTATGTATGAGAATTTCTGATATTCTTTGATTCGGTGTATGTTGGTGGTGTGTGAATTGAGAGGGGTAAAGTCGTGGTGGTGGATATTAGTTCTTGGGTATCGAGAGACGAGCTGTCAACTTGATATTCGCTTTTTGCGGCGATGAGGAAGAAAGGTAGCGAAAATGTGAATGTTTGTGGATAGATACGAGAATCTGCGGTGTAAATTATTATGTGTGAGAAGAGATAAGGGGATAGTGCGGGACTAGAGCAATGAAAACGATTGGCGCTTGACTAGGAGATGGCGATGTTTAATGCTTAAACTAGATTGAGTGAGTGGAGTTTGGGAAAGTTCAGGGTATGTTGCAGGGAAGCGAAATACTTGATAGTGCGAAGACTGATTTGGAAATGCAGAGGTCGATCTAGGTATCATGAGATTTTGCATCGTTTGTGAAAATTCTAGGGTGATTCGTGTGTGAGCGCTCGAGGACTTGCTCACATCTTTTGTGTTAGACTCTCAAGTGTAGTTCTTCGGAAAGATATGAATGAGTTCGCTAGGAATCGCAAAGATGTTCTGGATCTGTGATCTTGGTAGTGCTTCCAGTGGGTGGGTCGAGTGATACAGATTGGATTGAGTAAGCTGTAGATTGTTAAGGTTAGGTAACCTAAAAAATGATTTGTGATTGAATAGTTCGGATTGGTTTTGGATTTAATAGCTTTGTTGATTTTGAGCAGTAATTTGCAGTCAATTCATGGACTAGATGATGGAGGGTCTAATAGCTTTTTCTGGACTAGCGAGTTGGGATCAGTCTGGAGAAGGAAGGTATGAAGCCTACTCATTATGAGCACTGGGGATACTATGATTCTTTTCACAGAGGAAAAGGTAAGCATGCTACTCCTTTTTCCCCTGATTAGCGGGTTGAATTGTGAGGCATCTGAAGATCCAAAACTGACAGCCATGGAGATTAGTTTCTCGGGGTTTTATTCGTTGCTATAAGTCACTGTCATGCATAATACTGCCCAATCAAACATCATAAGATAATATCCTCGTCAAGGGAATCTTTGCTTACCAATCCACTTACACCATTCAAACGAAAGCAGTCTGTGAATTTACATGTAACCTTATATCAAGCTTTACCTTCTTACTCGATGTGAACTTATTCTCCCTAGCTTTAGGACTTCTATCTCTACTTTAGCGATAAAGCCGCAGAGTGATTTCGCCTGCCACGCACGAGACGATGTAGTCTTAGACAATTCAACATCTGGGGCTATAAATGGGATGCAAGCAAGCTTGACAATGGCGGTGGTTATCTTCACGGCAACGGACTCTTGAATCAGCTTGGCGGATGTGGGACTATTTCCAAACGGAAGTTTGAAAATATGACAGTGGACGCGGGTAGTCCGTATGAATAGCATGCTTCGGGCCAAGGGACTACTTGGCAGAAGGGCTGTATTGAACATGCGATTGTTTCTGCCAGCGCACCTGCGGGGTCGTGTAGTGGAACCGAATGATAGATTAAGACTTCATGATCCCTTGATCCGATTGCTAGGCGTTAGAGGAAGTTTTCAGGTAGGTGCTCTCTCATTTCCTCGCTTATATTGAACTCTGTGCGCCTGTTGCTGGTCTTAATTTCGCTTTAAATGTCGTCGATCCCTTCTCCTATGCTCTTGGTTTTCGGCAACGTCGTCCTTGCTTATCATCGTTTTTACTTTCAAATCTTGACCTGATGCACCTTATGACCTTCAAGCGTGTTCTATTATCCTCACTTTAGTCTCTTATTTTCCTACTCTTTATAGATTGAAAGCATTTTTCCAAGCATAATGTTTCTGGAGCTCATGTGCTGTAATTTCTTTTTAAAGCCAACTTGATAACGCTCAGACGAAACGAGTTACGAATTCGAAAGAGACAATGATCTGATGGAACTGTTACTTGTATGGTATACCAATTTCGTGATATTCCTCATAAATATTATATGCTCTTGTCCAAAGTTTCGGTTGATAGAACCGTCTTGAAAGTTATGATGTGCGGGTATCATGTGTCATGCATCCGATTAATCTCCTAAGTTAACCATGTGGTATAAAATATCGCCTCACGCCTCAATTGCCCAGTCATGTTCACAAGAACGCTACATGACAGGTACCCTTAATCCCAATAATATGTCCACTGCGATGAACCCATAACTTGATCTTCCCATCCTTTTCCCGGTTCATTGCCTCCAGCGCCCGCGCATACAATCAATGGCAGGAAATGTTCTTGTCCTCTTTCAGGATGTGCATCCTCAGCACCGGTCCATTGCCTCCAATCTTGTAGCTTTTTACCGCGTTCTTCAGCATCGGCTATTTTCAGTGTTTCCGTCAACCGATATGACCACTCATTATTTCGTGCTTTGTATGCAGGAGTGTTCATGACGCCAGAGAACATGAGACGAAGGTTATGAAACGTCGGCATGCCACTACCCAGAATAGCTATTCCACGAGAGCGCAAAGGTGCCAGAGCCTGGCCCATAGCATAATGTTGAGCAGGAGAATTCGATCGTAAAACGGAAACTTGAACGATGGGAATCTGTGCTTTGGGGGCAATGAGGAGGAGGGGAATGAATACGCCATGGTCCCAGCCTTTTTGAGATTGGTGGTCAGTAACATGAATCAAAAAGATCGCTTTCAGAAATCAAACCTCTTTTCTCATCCAACACCGGTTTTAACCCTGCCCCATCCAATAGCTCGAAAACCTCCTTTGCTACTTCTGGACTTCCGGGTGCAGGGTACTTTAATTTATATGTCTCGGATGGAAATCCAGAGTAATCATAATATAAATCGTGGTGCTGAGCGCTGCTTATATGAGGACGTGTCTCGGTCCAATGCGCAGTAACTAACACAATAGCCTTTGGAGCACTCGAAGTAGAGGAATTAGGTGAAATGCCTAGTATTTCTGGAACGCGAGTGCTCATGGACTTTATGAGTTCGGCATGGTCGGGGTCGTTCATAACGGGCATGGGACCACCACCATGGCATACGGACATTACTGGAGCAAGAGGAGTGGAGCTTGAAGTCGACATGCTTGAGATTGAAGAAATTGGAGCCGGGCAGGTAGGTTGGAAGATGTTGCTATATTGGTGGCAGAATTTTAGTAGAGTTGTAGCTCGATGAATGACGCGCATGAGGTGCAGGAAGAAATGCCCAAAAGTGGCAGATCAACAGGATTCTTATATTTAGATTCGGCAGATGTTAGTAGTTAGCAAGATGGTGTAGAGCAAAAATTATATGTGGTGTTTTCAGGGTCCTTTCTGGATGAACTGATCTGGTTACTAAGAACGCAATGCGGGGTCGAGATAGATTGGTAATGATGTGAAATCAATTGTGTAAGCAGCGCCAAAACGCGCTTAGGCGTTCACACACCCCAGTGTCGTACCCGTGCTCACCACTTCAAGCCTGAATTTTATGCCTGTAAAAATCATTGCCAATGCATGCAAAAGTTCTGTCTCCGATTATTCCGTCAATGATAATTGTATATACGTCGTATATATCACTATTCTGCGGTATATTTTCTATTCAAACCAGGATTAGCGTTTTGAGAATCTCCCTTCGTTCCTGGGATCTTGAGCTACTGAGTCTAGTGAGTCTAGTACAGATCTTGCTGCACCTTTGAGTAAAATAAAGGTGGTATTCTCATCCTGATCCTATTTTGGAATTTTAGAACATCGTATTTCATGAAAATGATAGACATGGCAATCGCCGGGTTACTTTCAAAGTGTTTCCATGAATTGAAACCCCTCTCGTCGTACCTCTCTGTCTGCTGTTGTTGTTGTCTCTTTTATCCTTTCGTCGCTTCAGCTATGCCCTCATATTCACCTCTGTTAACCTGTTTACGAGTCTTTGTAAATTTTCAGTTTGGGAAGAGAAATTAGGAAAAAGATGGAAACATGACAAACAAAAGTTACTCCATGGAAGAATCTTAGACGAGGTTGCGATACTCTAGGATGTAAAAATTGCAGTACACAGAACTAAGCTAGAGTTCCCATCTTACTCGAAGTAGGCCGTTTTTCTCTGAGCTAAATTAGTGAATCGCGAGTATGAAACAGGCGTCCAAATTTAATCATGCAAATGTGTTAGTGTGAAGTTATAGCGAGTGCAGTTCGTGGTAATAATGAAGAATTCAGGTGCACTCCCCATATTCTAATGATGCCGTAAAACTATCAGGACTACTGCCTGCATTTCATTGGAAATTTTAATGAAATGTTTACTTTCAACACAAGACGTAATCAATGATATGCACCTTAGTTCAACTGGGGTTTCAACGCACCGAGCAAAGTCAGGTCGTTCTTTGCTTTTCGAACGCCTTGTGAGTTGCGCTTCAATAATTGGCTTTCTATCTTTATCCAAATAGAGGACATTAAATCAGTTTTGAAAGTTTAAGAGAAGTCACAACTGTCAGTGAGGGATGGTATTGCAGTTCCGGTAACCTAGTCTGTAGTCCTTTCCCCTACTCCCACATCAAGCGTTGGCCAATCGCTGAGTTTAGAGCAAGGACAGATATCAGAGAAATCTTCTCTTACAAATTTATTCAATAAAGATAACCTAGTTTCTGGCTAGGCTAGTAATGGAACAGTTCAACAGGCTCTTTCGATCGTGCTTCCCCACATCTGACGTCCCAACCTGACCCGAAAGAATTACGCGAAAATCCCCTAATTTAGCGTGGCATTACCGATCCACGCTACCCATCCAAGGTTTTTTAAGTTCAAGCTAGTAGCTGTCAGATAGCATCCTCGATAAGCTCAGCTATTTGGAATCAAATGGAAAGCGGATTTATACTCCTATCGCCGGCACACGTATGTGGCAATTGACTTGAAAATTGGTTGCAGAACCAGTTGAAAAAGACAGATATGATTCCTGGGAAGTCTCTCACTCACTTCAATTAGTACATAATACTATACTGTGGACTTATGATCACACAAGATATATAGTCACGCGAAATGCACTAATAGTCTGCTACCCTAATTTTCATTTTCATATCAATAATTGCGTTGGAACGAATTTCATGACCAATCTAAATCCTAAATTTATAGATTTTGAATTGTTTAAATCCACTAGAAAGTAAAACTGATCAAGTGATCGAAAGATGCAGAACGGTACTATGACTTCCAACTTCAACTAATACAGAGAATGACATCGCTTAAAAGCCGAGAAATAATGAGATACGATAAGATAAATCTAGTGACCGTTTTTGAGTTTTCACTATTGATAGATATATCTAGTAAATGATGATCATTTCCTTTGGGAGATCTTTAGCGATTAGAAATTCCAATGGACACGAATCCTACTTCAAGGACAGATCACAAAACATGTAATCTCGAGATAAGAGTTTTTTAGATCAAGAAGTTCAAGAATAGCCTCTTCATATCCCAGGACAAGCCCAAGAGTACAATGAGACCCACCTCAGAGACAGAGTAATATTGAGGGGGTTCCAAGTTTCATCATCCGATGTTAATTAAAACGCTCGGCATTCATAAAACTTGCCAGAGGGTGTCAATCCCCTGGCAGTAGCCTACGGTCCCCACATCCGGTTTGTTCGATCGTTCGCTCATTTTTCGGTCGTTCGTTTTTCGTGTCGTCCTCCACCAGATTGCATTTGACCTGCACAAGTACGACTACTTGCTGCCCTGCAACCAAGCTGGTCGATCGTTCGCTCGCTCGTCGTAACTCGTTCGCTCGTCGTAACTCGTTCGCTCGTCGTCGCTCGTTCGCTCGTCGTTCGTTCGCTCGTCATTCGTTCGCTCGTCGTCGTTCGTTCGTTCGTTCGTTCGTTCGCTCGCTCGTTTTCGTGTCGTCCTCCGCCAAATTGCACTTGACCTGCACAAGTACGACTACTTGCTGCCCTGCAACCCAGCTGGTCGATCGATCGTGCGTTCGCTCGTTCAGTCGTTCGTTCGTTCGCTCGTCGTTCGTGATGTACTGTGTCGTCCTCCACTAAATTGCATTTGACCTGCACAGATACGACTACCTGCTGCCCTGCAACCCAGATATTCGATCGATAATTGGTCATATCGTCCACCATCTTCATTCTCTTCTCCTTCTTCTCCTTCTTCTCCTTCTTCTCCTTCTTCTCCTCTATCCTGAAATCTTAAAGAATTTTGGGGGAGGGGAAACGAAGATACTTATAGACTTCAGGCTGCGCTAGTGCTAGCTTGATGATCTGTCCTCCCCCCCTTAGTCTCGTTAATCATCGACCAATAGTCTTCGTCAAATCTCATTTACTAGTTCAAATGAAGCTGGTCTCTTGCGAGCGCGAGTAATCCTACTAGTTCGTTCCTAGCGTTCTCGTAATTTCTCACGTCTTTTCTCTTCTGAACCTGTATAATATTTTTCTGGTATGTGAATGTGGCATATTTCAGCTCAATTTCTAGCATTGCAGTATGTATTAATGAACTTTCAACCTTCCATTGATAGAGTCAATCTGTCTATTGCTCAACATTCAAATTCGTAATCATCTCATCTAGAATGGTCTCAATTTGATATCTGTGTTCAAATTCATGATACTCTTCATATACAAGTGAACTAAAAAATGAACCTGAGTATGATAACCTTTGAGATCCATTCCTTACTCAATATATTTACACAACGACTACTCATCTACTTGACAGGACTTATCACATCAACGACTTGTCTTAATAGCATTATTACTTATTCCAATTGCAACAAGATGAAAATGATAATCTAACTTGAGGCTTTTCTTATTCTCGTCATATGTACATTTCATTCATATATCCACGGCTGATTCTGCCAGCCAAACATCATCTTATTCCATTTTTCAAGCTGAAAATCTCTGACTCTGTGTGTACATTTTCTATCAACAGTTTTCCATGCAATTCCAATCGTAAAGTCTTGTGGGGAGCAGACCGACACCGTAGATTACTCAAGAAATCGTTCCTAGTCAATACCAGCCCATCAAAATTTCCCCAATCTACATGCTCATTCCACTTGTATATGTGTCATGTCCACCTCTTTTTGGAAATGATTCCATGACTAACAAATTCACCTGGATGTATAAATTGCTTGATGACAGATAGACTTCAATAATTCCCCCCCCCCCCCCCCCCCCCCCAAAAAAAAAAATTAATAATAATAATAATTCATGATTCAAGAAGCAATGAGATTAGTTTATGATCAAGAGAGTTAGTACATGAGGTGACAAACCGGCTTATGGTTTGGCTTAAACGAATAGTTGAAGTCTTTTCGGTATTTTGAGACTAATTTGCGGGGTTTGTCTATCGTCGAATGAGTTCTCCTCATAAGCAGCACAATCATTAAAAATCGCTTATATTTGTTAGCGATTTGGGATAAGCGATGTCGGATGGAATCTAGAGTATGAAGTCTGTTATCTTTCTATCTCAGTTCATTGCCTGTCCAGATATTTCAGTAAATGAATATCTGGACACGTCATTATCAGACTCTATATATAGACCTAAAATAGATATAAAAGATCACTCAAATAAAAATTGAATCTAAAACTTCAAAGCATCCCCTTTAGGTCTTTGCAAACCTAAAAAGATAACCATATCATTCAACTTGATTTGAAATGCAGACATAGTGCGTAGTTTTTCTGCTAGGCCAATGACTTGCATCAAGATCGGCATGTGCTAAGTGACCAAGAGCCATTAGTGATATTTGTTAGAGGACTGGGCTTCTACTGAAGAAGATTTTCACTACCATGACCAAAGATTCTTACAGCTGACCTTATCAGGGGATACAACCACATTAAACTATTTCAAATACTTGACTATATCTGTTCTCATCTAACGAAGTAAAACCGGATTGGAAAACAGACTCTTAAGTTATCAAAGCTCTCTGTCAAGCAATTTGTATAGAGTTTTTAAATGAAAATATGAAATAATTGCTTGATCAGATCAAATAAATGTCGTCTCGTCTCCCTCAAAATGCCAAGAATGGGTGTTTTCCTAAAATAGAAATATGCCTCTAGTCATTGCGTGCTCTAAGATCTGCAACACTCATTGATATGATTCGTCGCCTGCACAAAAAATCTAGCCTTACCCGTTTCCGTTTTATTTACCGACGTTTCCATTCCATTTGATTTCAACAATCTCATATTATATAACATATTTTATTCAAAACATGTCAACACCATTGAAATAGCTATTAATCATGACTCTCTTCACCATTCAAACAACTGGCCGCGCTGTGCTACGACGTCCGTATTTTCCAAGCCATCGGAAACAAGTAAACTTCACTTCGAAGAGACACAACTCCAACGATCCTACCCCTGCACCCCGTTCGAATCCCTCCCCAGAGAGCTCTGCAAATGGCATTGCGATTCCTATTCCTGCGACGATCGCGAATGTGCCGATATGGCAGCGACTTGGTCCTTTGACCCGATCTTTTCAGGCATACGGTCGATCGCAACGGAAACGTCCTTATACTACACAATTCTGCAGTTCGTTGGTGATATACTTCCTCGGGGATCTATCAGCGCAAAGCATCTGCGGAGATGATTATGATTGGAAGCGTACATTGAGAGCAATGTTTATTAGCATGGGAAGCAGTATCCCGTCTTACAAATGGTGTGTTGCTCATTTCATCCCTTTGTGTTGGGGGAATTTGAGAAGACGAGCTAACAAGTCGAAGGTTTATGTTTCTTTCAAATAATTTCAACTACTCCTCGAAAGCCGTTTCCCTCGCTACAAAAGTCGGTATCAATCAAATGTTCTTTACACCTATATTCAATACATATTTCTTTGGCATGCAATCGTTATTGTCCGGAGACAGTTTACCGGATGTCGTTGAACGTGTCAAGAGGACTGTCCCAACCAGTATGATGAACAGTATTAAATTATGGCCCGCAGTCACAGCAATCAGTTTCGCATGGATTCCACAAGAACATAGGAGCATATTTTCCGGTGTAATTGCGATCGGCTGGCAGACATATTTGAGTTTTTTGAACAGAAGAGTAGAGGGCGAGATGGCCGGAGGTGTCGGAAATACACAGAAAGATGTTGTCAAAGCTTCCGCGTCCAAATCATCAAAAGAAGTCGCAGTCAGAAAAGAGTCCACCAAGGATGCCCAGGAGCAGAAGGCAGAGGCTTGATCGGAGAGCGTTGTTTATATTCACGGTGTATTTTATCGACATATATGGGCAAGGCACGGCATAGATAGACATTATACCAGTTTTTGGGGTCAGCAGGCCACCGGCGCAATGGGCATTGGGTAAATGGAGAAAAAATAGAAGGCACGGCGTTTGTATAGACTTGGGGAGCATGACCCCTTAGCGAGAGGTTCTAGATATTGGATCAAGATATCGGATTGACGTCTATATGGGAATTAATAGTTTCATTTCTCTGTAATAATTCTTATGAGAACTTGTTAAAGTCGCTGTTTTTGTCCATTCCATGGTCAAGTGCTTATTTTCGGCCCCAAAAGTTGTCTTCCGACACATATCCAGATATAGATCGGCCCTCTGACATTCTCAAGCCCTCAAACAACGAGTTGTTTGATTTCTTCATTCTTCAGACGATAATAATTATCTGCCGAGCTTCTGGCCTTTCTCAAATGAGAACAAAGGTGCCCAAATATTTCACAATCAGATATTGAACACTCTTCTTACATATTCTTGTTGCCATGTACACTCCTCCGATGGCATGAACTTCCAGTAAGAGGTAGCTCTTGGGAAACATGGAAAGGATCTTGGATCGAATGTGGGTATGTTGATGTTGTACCTGCTCATGGGTGATAGCTCGAGGCATCGAGTTGGTGAAGATACCAGGCGAAACAGTGTAGCTATCAGAGTTGTAGCGTTCGATTGCGACTCGTTCTCGCTCTCAAAATCATGTAAGCTAGGGCCGCGTACTTGCATGAATGAAGAATCGAGACCTACCGATGGGGAAGTTGGGCTTCATTGATCTAGTGAAATACCAAAGCAATCAATTCTCAACGAACCGAAGAGTCGTTGACGGACGCGCAAGACGATGATTTTTATATCTTTTCCATGGCTTGTGTTTGAGAAATCGTGAGTCTGGCTATGCGATATCAAAGTATATATCACATAATCAAATGCCAATTCTCACAAAGCCAGGATGTGAAAAAGATGTAAATGCCAACGACTTGAATAAATTTTTTGTTTTGGTCCAAGAGATGAAATAATCGGCTGCCCTAGCAACTTGCTATCCTAAACTATGTGATGTGTTTATAACGATTCTTCGGAACAACGAGTCGTGTGAAAACTGTCCAGAGCTGAAGATCTTACTGCGGAGACATTGGTTTTCTGTCTGAAAACCAAATTAAGCACTCGACATCACGCGTTTTGGTCTTTCTGCGGCAGTAGGATAGACATATATTTGCTCTTTCTTTATTTGGTTAGATGGTATGTTGAGAAGAGCATTGCTCATCTTCCTAAGATAGGGTGTGGTTCATTCGAAGGAATACTTTCCCATAACCTCGACCCGAATAATCGTCGCTCGGATCGAATAGATTTTGTTCATGCTTTACATGCCTCTAAATGTTGTTTAGAAAGAACATCGTAAGTTTGTGAGCATCATTGACTTTGTCCACGTCCACCTGGATAACTCGGTTCCTCGTGGGTTTGCGTCTGGGCATCTGCTACATTCCCAGCCGGATCTGGGACTTCGATCCAAACTTTTTGATCTCTGTTTCAGCATTCGCCCGTGGACTTAAGAGTTTCTCTTTCTTTTCGTAATTAATGTATTTTGCTTCTCAGTAGGTTTCCCTCATAGCTTTTCATCACCGATCCATCTTGAAGCTAGATAATCCCCAGACCGCGGAGAAAACAGTAACTCCTGGTTCTCTGATTTGGTATACGATGCCATTGCTTAGTACGTCGCAGTAGATATTGACGTCTTGTGAGCCATTGGTTCAACCTCTTCGCTGAATTGTGGGTACATTTCTTGGAATTGTAGTAATGATCTTCATACAAGTTTTTTATGACCCAATTCCATGCTCATGTATTATATGCTTCAGGCCCCACCGACCTTCATTCATAACGACAGAAACGACCGATCCGCTCACTGCTAAGGTTTCTTGAATATGCTGTGAAAACCTAGCGTCGAAGTGATCAAGGGTGCTAAGTTCAGTCTAGTATCGATCTTGTGGGAGAGATTGATCTGATTGCTTTTTGTTTCCTGAGTCAGATCTGAGCCCACGTCATTGCTTTTTCCTCCTCCATCGTGTTCATTCTTACTAACTTCCACTTTTACCCGCAATCCTCGTAGCTAGATGTAGTGCTAGTACTATTACGTGGACTGTGAATTCAGTATAGTACTTTGGTTCACACTGTTGTAATATTGGTTGGATTTTCCAAAAGCTGAGACGACTAAACCTATGTTGCAATGCAGAGGTGGTAGCGCAAGCGGCAATTCT